TAAATGTTTGGTGTGTTTTACACAATTTTTAGGATCTATATAATTCGGAACAACATGTATATTAGGGATGGTTAATATATAGTAGTATCTGTATATTTTAGTTACAATATCTATTTACTGGGATAAGTTTGTTAAAAATCTGTTATCTAAAAAATAGTATTGGATAATAGACTGTTAACAAGTTCGAAACTAGATATCCGACTTGATATAAGCGATATTGAAATAGGTATAATAGGAAATTACCAGAGGGAGACTTTGTACAAAAGTCGTTTGCTTGGATACCTCTGTTCCATTCGTGTTTCAATCGTGAAGTATGTTAGTTGTGTTTGCATGGCTGTGTTTCGGTTTGAAGTCCTCAGGAATGGCAACGCATGGGATGTATCATGGGTGAAACAGTATACTCTGTTATGTCCATTGTACTGCTCATGTCTATAGGTGACGGTTACCACTTTCTATCAGGTGGGCCGTCAGCTTGTTTGCCATTTTAAGTTGTATAAAAAAAAGGTAATGACCTTACGGCCATCAATGTTCAGAGCAACCCAATATATAGATATCAGATCGGTATCCATATTACCAATGCCTAATGTATATAAATGGGCATCAACGTTATCTCATGTAGTACATATAATATCATAGATATGTCTAAATTGAATACAAGTATCGCCTACAAGCAAATAACCGTGCATTGTAAAGGCTTCGCTGTCCTCTTTATGTTACATATAAAACATCCATGTTCCACGTTATATCAACATTCATGTTCTTAAAATAAATTATATCGAAAAAGGTCTTTATATTCATGTGAGATATTGGTATGGTTATTTTATCAATATATCCTCGCATATATGCCAGGACCACCCGGCATAAAAATACATATAGGCAATGGGCCATCCTTTCCTTTCCCGTGGGTATCGTAAGAGGTGACTATGGGAACTTAATGGTCGAAGAATGGTCAGCAACGTCCCTTTTAAAACATCACCAAAAGCCTTACTGCAGTTGCCAACCCGCCTGCCAAACGTGGCAACTACTGGCAATATCCCTCTTTGTGGGGGGCCTGTATACAGCAGTGGACACCAAATATGTCCAAACATCTCCTTTTTAAAATTTTTAACTTATTTGCAACAGAATGTTTTCATACAGTGACAGAGTGAGAATACAATGTTTCACCACTACGTTTCATGCCTCGAATAATAAAAAAAAAACTAGGGCTATGGTAATAGGTATATATAAGTAAATCATAAACTTAGATTATACTAGCTGCAATATACATTTTTTTTTTATGGTTTAATTAGATTTTGCACGCTACCGAGAACGAGGCAAAAGAAACAGTGTCTTGGGTCGTCAACATTTTTAATAGGCACTCAACTTTATTATCGCGTTACATTGTTTTAAAATCCTTTATCTACTTATTGCAATTGTCGTTTATATATATTTTTATATGTTTAATTAAAGTTATAAAATATTTTATAAAACTATTTCCATAGAGCAACATAAATTAATTAGAACTTTCGTGTAAACTGTCTATTTGATACTTTACGTACACAAAACGAGAATTAATTATGATGAGTGTTTACTTTAATATTATATATCAAACTGGTAACTTTATAGTTTGTTTCAATAGAACCATATGAAAATAAAATAATAATAATAAATAAACAAATTTCGTTGAAATTACAGAAACACTCATTAAATGAAATAAGTAACAAACAGAAACGCAGTTAGACTCGCATCACAGTCGCTCACGACTAAGGACCATGAATTGATTCCGAAACTAATCGAACTTTTTTTTATCTAATTACACGTAAGTTAAACTGGTAGTTGTTACATTAAAATATAAATATTCAATAAGTTTTAAATAAAATTTTTATTTATAGTAATTAAAGATTAGCAAGCTGATATATGGTTAGATTATTTATTTATTTGTACACATTTTAAATATTGAAACATACATTCTCTTCTCTAATAACAACATACGACTAAAATATGATGTTGTTATATTATGTACCGAAGATTTATAAAAAATCAAAGTAAAAATAAACTTTATTTAATACAAATACAAAGATCGTCACGATTTGTTTTGTTTCTTTAACTGTTTATGCTATTGGCCGAAGATGTCCTTTCACGATTTTTTTCTCTCCCGTATCTTTATCCGTATGACCGGATCAGTGAGACAGGGATAAAAAGTAGTCAATATGTATTTTATATAGCACACATTAGTTAAGCTTTTAAGGCGTCAAAAGGTTAAAAAAAGACAAACTAATGTGCGCATTTATATCAATAAGGATTGTAGTTTCGAAAATGTCGTTCGTTTAGGAAGAAATAGTTTATTACCTGTGTTATACATAACTAATTAGACTTGATTAAATTGTGATATATGCCATTTATAATCATGTCACCTATATTTGACAAACGCGTTACGAAATTCAAAATAATGGTAATAGAAATGATTTCTCTGTTTGTGTTAATGGTTCACGTAATCTTCACTGTACCGATTACGTTGAAATCCGGTATTTATATCCGCTCTAGGTCAGTTTAAAATAAAGTCGATGTTTTATCTCGGAATTTTGATGGAAATCTCGGAATGAAACAAAAGAAAATTGAGATTAAAAAGTGAAAAATTCACAATTCGTTACAAATGGTCACTGAATTATTGTAATTATAAATTTACTCCATTTTCCTTCCGCTATATATATACAAAGAAAATAAAACCCTATTCACTCTGAGCATCAAAGAAATTATTTCATTTTCCTGTATTATCTGGTACAGCTTGGATCTCATAATGTTAATATCATCAACCAACTTCAAAAAGAAGCAGGTTCTCAAGCGGTTGTATTTCTTTTATGTTTTATACCTCATAACTCCCTCAGTTATGAACCGATTTGGAAAATTCTTTTTTTATCTAAAAGAATTCTTTATACGTATATCACGTACAAAGTGGCTCCATAGAATTTTTTATCAAAGTCGATTTAGTAGATTTATTTTCTTTTAATTATAATAACTGATTTTGCTACAATTCAAGTTGGTTTTTTTTTTCGTGGAACACAGATTTAAAAAACAAGCAAGAAAACTTAAATTATTTCATTGTAGTCGTAAATATAAACATCTACATTCGTAAATATGAACATTATAAATATTCAACAAAATATTTATTTCCGAAATAAATGCTTTTATTTGCAGAATACAATACTTTTTGTATAAAAGCACTTGATTATATATTATAGGTAGTTGCTACTATAGTATTATACTCGTAATTTCTATACCAGTAAAATTTATTTATCACTTTTATTAGCAAATGAAATGCATTGTTTGGTAATTTATCATTTTAGAACGTTTCCCATACCCTGTTTTCTATATTTTTTTCCCTAAATAATATACTTCTTTCATATTCTAGTTGAATTGGATTTTTCCATAATTTTACCATCATTTTCAAAATATATTAATTGGCCTCTGATTTATAGGCATTAAATCAAAAAGCTATTGAGTTTAACAAAGAATTCAATGGTAATAAAATATCAGAGGAAAGAAGACCGTAACAATAGCATTATTGACAATTGAAACGATAAGTTTTAATACTGTCTTCGTTTCTGCCCATCCAGGGCAGTTAATGGGATACAGGCATAACAAATATGTATGTATGTCTTATTTGAATTCGTCTGATTATTTATTTTAGCATTGTAGAATTTTGATATGGGCTGAGAAAAATCGGCGTGTGGTCCCGACATAGAATAGACTATCTATTCCTTTCCCGTAGGTGTCGTAAGAGGCGACTAAGGGAGGGCGAGGGATGGGAGTTCCTCTTAAAATATCTCTTAGGTACATAATATTAGATATTAAAGATCAGGCCTGCGGTTGCCGATTCGCTTGCCAAGCGGATTAACTATTGCCAAAAGCCCCCAAGAGAGATTATGTTAGATTATGTAGTGGACACTTAAAGGCTGATATGATGATAAGTTGAGAGATTTTATAAGTGTGAAAAAAAATAATGAACTTGTGTGTATGATAAGTTCATTATTTTGCATTTATAAAAAAAAATGAAACCAAATAATGTAAATGTGAAAATTCTAAATATATTTGGGTTTTTTGATGTTTGTTATTTGAGCTTTGTTGATAAACGGATATGAATGAAGGGTTTGCTGGAAGAGAACTCTTACAAAGTTAAGCTCGCCTGTTGTACATCTTTATTTTATATATATATTATATGATGTAATTTTTTCTGTGTACAATAAAGAATAAATAAATAAATAAATGAAATTTGTTGCACAGGTGTTCTAAACCACAAAGAATATTTTTAATCTCGATTTATAATGATATAAACGCGAAAAATAACTAGAATTTATATTTATATACATATGACTGTAAAGGTTAATACAGATGATATTCTATAGACTTGTGGAGAGAGTAGTGTAGAGTAGCACTCCCAGTAGTGGCATTTTTTTCGAATTACTTTAATGCTGTTGGCCTCTTATTATAAGATAATTAAATCTTATAAGATGTATATTAAGTTAAGAAATTTAATTAATTTATTTGAGTTAGATCTTTGTCAAATTATGTAAATGCAAAATCAGAAAGTATATTTACATAATTTATTTCACTGAATTTTATGATAAAAAATTAGTTGTGGCAAATAAATAATTAAAGATCGAGTTTCACAAAAAACCGACTTTAATTGCAATACAAACAGTTATTTTGATCTAGAAACTAAATTCCTGAACCGATTTTGATAAAATTTTTATGGGATTAATAATCTATAAGTATATCCTCTTAGATGAAAAAAATAATTTTCCGAATAGGTTTAGAACTGATAGAGTTATATTATAGGTAACATACAATAAAAAATACAACCGAATTTAGAATCTCCTTTTTTTTTAAGTCGGTTGAAGTTTCAGGCCATACGGTATTCTTAATAATGAAAAACGTATAAAAAAGATTTTAATGACTTGAAAATTATTTTAAAACATTATTTACGTTCTATATTTTATTAAACATGCAATATTTCTTTCCAGAACGAATGCCTACACTCAGCTGTGACGTCACTAACGAAGAACCAAGCGGAACATTACGACAAGTACAATTGTCTGTGAGTAGCAATAAAAAATGTTTTATATCTCTGAGCAGTAAAAGGTACCTCTAATCAACTTTTACAGTCAGCCGGATTATACTTAATTAGTGCGACCTCTTAATTTGGTCGTGTAGCATACTAAACAGATTTTATATGGGAGAATTAACGTGATTCATGTTTAAAGCTGCGTCCAGACTTATGTAATGTGCTGTGTAATTTATTGCAATTATACGGTCGGATAATATTAGTGGCTATTATATTATATATTTATGAGCATTCTCATTCATGAATTATTTTGTATGATGTTTTTTTGTTCTAAACCTAATTACTATGTTGATAAATCCGAACGCAGCCACTATCTGCGTGTATTACATTGAGAGTGATTTGTAGAAGTCTACGAAACTAATTAAATCGGAAAATCTCCTGTATGGAACAATATAGCAAGTGTGATGTATGATTACCAGAGGGAGACTTTGTACAAAAGTCGATTGCTTGGGTACCTCTGTTCCATTCGTGTTTCTACCGTGAAGCAGTTGTGTTTGCATGGCTGTGTTTCAGTTTGAAGGGTGGGATATGGCGTGAATTTATAGAGTACAGAAGAATAACACCTAAATCCTTAGAAATGGCAACGCATGGGGGTATCATGGGCGAAACAGTACACTCTGTTATGTCCGTGGTACTGCTCATATCTATAGGCGACAGTTACCACTTTCCATCAAGTGGGCCATCAGCTTGTTTGCCATACTAAGTTGCATAAAAAAAATGATTTTACGTAGCATATATTACTTCATTTGAAATAGTCCAAGCCTAGTAACTAGACGTACAGTTAGAACGAAGGTTCGAATGAATTTCCTAATTCTATTGTCTGTCCCCAGCCGAAGACTACCAGACGATGTGAGGAAATGTAGAAATTATGCATATTTGCAAGAAATATACGACGCGGTAAGAGCGACTGATAGTAAGTATTTAATTTTACTAATATAATAATATTGAAACTAGACGATGCCTGTACATGGGAAATAAAAAAAAATACAAGGGATCTTAATAAGACTAATAGATGCCAAAATAAATTTTTTAACAAATTTTGATTGTCTGATTGTCATGCAAAAACTATTGCATCAAATTGGATACTGTTTTCAAAGTTGAATTCCTGTAGATCTAACTTAAAATTTGGTATATGGTATGTTTCACCTTGATACTCTGTCTACATATAAATGGGCTAATTCATTGGCTTTTTTTTATGGTTTGCGGTACAGTATTTAAGGCATCCCGTCCTCGCTATTGGATACGGGTGACGGAATGCCTATACTAGAGGGTACACGGTGGGCGCAGTTTAGACGCAATTATTTAATTGGCATTTCTACTTCTGAAATTCACGCATATTAAGTAGCGGGAAAATAGCTAATGTTGAGTAACATTCTAACTATACTTACTTACAGCTTAGTATAATACTAAGAGTACTAAGAGTATAATACCTAAATAATTTCATGTATTACTAAAAGATTTATTAGGTGCACTATCAAGTATCATCATCTTCCTACCCTTATCCCAACTATCATTTGGGGTTGGCGTAATACGTTTTCCTCTTCCATTCTTTTCTATTCCCAGTCATTTCCGCATTCACTCCCATTCTGGCCATATCGTCCCTCGCACAATCCATCCATGTCTTTTTAAGTCTTCCTCTCCTCTTATAGCCATCTACTTTCATTCTTAATATCAAATATATAGAACCAAATTGAAATAATTAGCATTCCTTTAAGGAAGTATCTATTATTATTCTATTAATATTATAAATGAAAATGTATGTAACGATGGATGGATGTTCGTTACTCTTTCATATAAAAACTACTGAACGGATTTAAATTAAATTTGGTACACATATAGGTCATATTTTATTTTAGCATAAAGGGTAAAGGGTTATGTCATAATTTACGCGGGCGAAGCCGCGGGATACATTTAGTAGAAAGTATTTTTATCAATATAAGTTGATATATTACAAAATATTTGAAACCTTCAATACTGACACGGCATTTCTAACTGTTATGTTTTTTAACTTCATGGCAGCATTGCTGAGGTCGGCCCTGGAAACGATGGCATGATTACCTAGAAGTATTTAAAAAAATATATCCGAATGTTAGTATTGTGGGGATTGAACCAGTAATTTTCGAAAAATGAGACAGCGTGTTGTTACCCCTATATCATCAAGATAGTAAATTACTAGTGATTATATAAAAATATCTAGCCGCAGTACAGTTACCGGTAGGCGTGTAGTTCCGGCATAGAATGGGCTACCTCTTTCTTTCCCGTGGGCGTCGTAAGAGGCCACTAAGGGAACTTAATGGACGAGGCATAGACAGCAGCGTCTCTCTTAAAATATTAAAAAAAAAATTTTTTTTTTATTGACCACATTACAAAAAATGTCTGGTACAAAAGGCGGACATAATGATATATGCATTCTCTCAATCAAACTTTGGCAAAACAGAAATGTGGTGAAAAATTGAAAATTATTAGATAAACAGTTACAGACGTATTCATATTGACTTACAAATTATAATACATACAATAGAGAACATACAAGAGCACATTATAATCATATAAATATACATACATAATACATTCAACAAATATAACTTACATATATAAATACATATTGACTTTTTACAAGTGGTTCATTATAAAGGTCAAGAAATGTTTTATTAATAAATTTGGACTAATGATGCATTAAAAGACAAATTAGATTACGTTGAATATATTTCTCTTGCATTATTTATGTTGTCATCCAATAAAAATATGCTTAACAATCCATTTTATATCAAATATTTAACAATGTTTTTTTTTTTTTTCTCGTATATATTACAATCTTTTTTTATTATTATATAAGCCGTTAACTGTCCACTGTTGAACAAAGGCTTCCTCTATTAGGGAAAGGGGGGGGGGGGAGAGTTTATTAATAGTTGCTTGGCACGCAGGTTGGCAACCGCAGTTAGGCTTAGGTGATGTTTTAAAGGAGATGGTTTTCCCCATCCCTCGAGCATTAAGTTTCCTTAGTAGCCTCTTATGACTCCCATGGGAAAGAAAAGGATGGCTCATTCTGTCATTGGACCACACAGCAAATTTTATTACAACTCCCTAATAGTACCTACTAGTCGTGTTTCTAATAACGTCTTTCCTAATATTTTTGAAAAAATATTTGATTGATTTATTATTGATTGTGATTGATTCAATCACGCATATAACTATGAATGTGTATTTAAAAAAAAAATTTGGCATGTCACTTTTTTGAAACAAAAGTGAGTTTGAATCTATTAAAGTATTTTGACTAACTTTCCGATGATAGAAAGTACAATTAACAAATCAGTTAGTCCGACTGAGGTCAGTTGTAGGTACTATGCTTTTGATGTAACTTATTTGTCGAATGTCACTATTGTGTAAACTCTATTGTGTCTGTTATTTATTGTGTAAAAAGCTCTTGACTACCCTATTAGGGATTATAGTCGTAACCATACCTATATTAATTTATTTACTAGGATGTAAAATAAACAAGTAGATAACATAAAAATGATTCCTGTTATATATTTGTAAGGAAAAATCATCTTATTAATATAATAAAATTGTATATTGTATATAGACAAGGCCAGTAAATGTCAAAACAATAATTATTAGAAAAAATATTTGTCTGTTTGTCTGTCTGTATATTTGATCCGGTATCACACAAAAACTACTACACCTAATTTGAAGTGATATTTACAGTTGTATTCCTAAAGGTGTAACTTAAAAGCCTGTGTATGTTTTGTCATGATACTCCAAACAGAAACGATTGATTTGATTGGATTTTCCTATTTCCCTAGCGGGCAATAAGCTAATTATAAATAATTTTGTCACTGTTATGAATAGTTTCCGAGTTTAGAAATTTTCTCCTTCGAATGCTTAAGCTGTGGAATGCCTCTCTATCGAGGTTTTCCCTAGAGACTACAGTATGGGTTTTTTCAAAAAGGGTATTTTTTAAAAACCTCATACTAGGGTTTCTTCAAGATCAACAACGCACACGTGACACACCCAGTGTTGCAGGCGTTCATAGGCTACAGCAACTGTTTATCATCAGACGGGCTGTATGCTTGTTTGCCACTTTTGTGGTATCAAAAAAGAAGTTTCGTCGGATAATCTTGTACAATATACTGTAAAATATTTATATAAATATTCTATTCTTATAGGCATTTTATTTCTATAGGTGTTGTATTTGTTCTATTACGTTCCAACTGTTGACCAGTTCCCTGGTTGTTTTCCACTTAATATTGAGAAGGGAAATTCTAAGACGAATGATTTTTCCTTAATTGAATCCGGTGAGAAAATTTCTTACCGTTCTCTTATTGAACGGAGTGATGGATAACTCTAATATTTATCTCCGATCTTGTAACGGGCTTCAATCAGATATATATTTAGGTTAATTTCGACTTTCGTTTCTTAAAAACTGCTTTGCTATTTGCTATATTTATTCTGTTTTTTTTTTTCATTAATTTCTTTGAGGAGCCTGACATTTCAAATCACATCATATATGTTTTCTAACCTAATGAACTCATTTTCGTTTTAGTTTTTATTTAGTTACTAATGTATCAATATTTTCTTATACAACTTAGAATGACAAACAAGCTGACGGCCCACCTAATAGAAAGTGGTAACCGTCGCCTATTGTTATTGATTGAAGCAATATAAGTACACCGACGTTTGTTATTTTAAAACTTTAAATTAAAAAAACTTGATTTCAATTTTGAGAGTAATTTGCAGTAATTTGATATTGGTGCCAAGATTAAATTAAATAAATAAATAATTAAATACATTGATATTTTTATATTGTGTTACATTTACCGACATGAAGATGTACATATACCTATGAGTATACCTCTGTCAATTTTAAATCGAAGTTTGTCTATTACCTATTGGTCTTATTAGTATTTTTTTTAAATTCTGTTAGTATTATTAGATTATTTCATATTCATTCATAGCTTTACAATTAAAGATTTGATTAAATAATTGGGTTTAATAATTTAATAAATAATAATAATAAAGTACACATCAATTGATAGGGTAAAATAGCAATTTTATAAATTATTTTCTTACTGTAAATTACGCAGAACGAAGGAGCTATATTAAATATATAAAGACCTACTTTTATAAGTAAATTATGCAAAAAAGTATTTCAATATTAAACAGAATATTACAAAAAGAATTTGTCGGTAACTAACAAATAAATTAAAGACAAATATTTTCCCATTATTTAAGTGTCATTGTTGATTTTTATATAGAGATGGGTAGTCTTTGTTTTACAAAGGGAATAGCTCGTATTCTTCAATTGAAAAAACTTTGACCAAAGGAGAAAAATATTAAAAAATTTGAATACGAGAAACGCAACTTCGGAACCGCCCTCAAAATGTTCTCAAGTTGTTTTGTCGTTTTTCTTTGAAGTTACAAACTTTGTTTTGGTTATATAAAGTTAATAAAAAGAAATCATTCACAGGTATAATAATTAGAGAAACTTTTTTAATTACTAAGTACAGATTGTGGTCGATGTTTTGAGGTATTATTATACACCTACACGTAATATACTGCGATTTTATCCATATGGTGTGCAATATTATATATATCTAACCTGCGGTTGCCAATTCGCTGCTAACCACAGCAACTACTGGCAAAACTCCCCAAGAGGAAGGCTTATGTTCAACAGTGGACAGTCAAAGGCCGATATGGTGATTATAAAGTGATCTATTTTATTGATTTTCCTAGCTTTCCTTAGTAGCAGGCGAAAAGTTAGTAATACTAGTATATATAATCATATCTTTAAGTTAGTCATAAATACAGGGTAGAAATACTGAGTAGTGACGTCACAGTCGAACAACATTTGACATGGGTCTTGAGATCCCAAAATCGAATCTGTGTACAAACCTATTTCATGTTTGGACCGTTTAAAAATTATTGACACTTGCCTCGTGCTCAGTAGGGCACGTAAAGCCGTCCGGTAACCCACGTACGAGCCGAGACTTTAGTGTATAACGAAGGGCTTATAGAGGCTTTTGACACCAGGGGGCGCCACTCCCTCATGACTAGTAATTGTATTAAGCCATTAAAACTAAGTAATAATGAAAGTGCATCAAAGAATAATATTATAATGTGACAATGAGTCTGTTATCTCTTATCATCATTATGCCTATATAGGTAGGGTATATACCCTACCAGGTCCCCCTAGGAACCATCGTAGTTAAGTTTACGTAGGAAGCATTTACCAGGTGTATTTACCACGATGCGCTAACTGACTTGCCTTTTCATTCTCACTTATCATCCTTCACTGGTGTCCCACCAGCGTATACCGTTAGCGCAGGTGGGGCTGCTATTCCATTATCATGCATTAAATAAAATACCCTATAATTGTCTAGTTAAATTTAATAAACCAACCATTACACCAGCCGTTAACTGTCCATTGCTAAACATAGGCCTCACCCTATTGCGGAATTTTGCTAGTAGTTGCCACGTTGCAGGTGAGTTGGCAAGTAGGCTTTAATGACGTTTTAAGAGGGGCACTGCTGTCCATTCCTCGACCGTTAAATTCGCTTAATCGTCTCTTACGACAGCCACGGGGTAAAAAGGGTATCCCATCTTTACCAGGACCACATGAGAAAAAACACAGATGAAAAAACTAATTTATTGTTATACAAATGAGTTTTTAACTATTTATTTTCAAGGCGCAAACGGTACAAGTTTTATTCTCTAATTAAATATTTAAAAACTATTCATAGTTTAAAAAAAAATTAAGACGAATACATTTATTGATATAATGACGATGATTTTATTATGGCGTTGATGGTATAGTGGTTTAATTGACAAATGCCTCATTTTTCGATGTGACCGGAGTCGATCCCCGCACAATACTAACATAACTACTTAATTATATAAAATAGATACATGTTTTATTTTTCTGTATTCATTTGTATTATTCTGCGTATTTTCTATATATAATTGTGTATATACTTATGTATACTATTTAGTATAAACTATAAAAAGTACTTGAGTATTTTTATCAGTAATAAGTAATTAGTCTAATACTTTAATCATAGGTATTGTAAGTCTAGATGGCGCTACGTCATTTTTCTAGTGTTGTTTATTTAATTATATTAATTCTATTTTATTTGTTTTAGGTGTAAACACAAAGGATTTTATGGCAAAATTAGGAGAATATTTAATTTTAACAGCGTTCTCGCATAATTGTCGACTAGAGAGGGCGTTTAAATGTTTAGGCACTAATTTGACTGAATTTTTGACGACACTGGACAGTGTGCACGACGTTTTACATGACCAAGTAAGTGTGACTTGTTTATTAAATATTTATCTATTTATACTAATATTATATAGAGGAAAGATTATATTTTTTGTGTGTTTGTAATGGATCAACTCAAAACTACTCAACTTTTTTTCTTTGTAACAGTCAGAACCGTTGGAACACTGGCTGTTCCTTACATTATACTAATCATAGAGTGTTCCCAACAATTTGCTCAAATTCCAAGGTCCACGTGCAAGTGCAATACTTAGGTTTTTTTTATACAACTTAGAATGGCAAACAAGCTGACGGCCCACTTGATGGAAAGTGGTAACGGTCGCCTATAGACATGAGCAGTACCCTGGACATAACAGAGTATACTGTTTCGCCCATGATACACCCATGCGTTGCCATTCCTGAGTACACTTGTTTTAATTGTTCGTCTAATGTGGTTATAGTTCACTCAACAGTTTATCATATATACATCAGCCTTACCTATTTCTGCCGTGCAGTAACAAATTATTATGTTGATATGTTTTGACACACCTCATGACCTCACTTTATATAAAAATAGTCATTACTGTTTATGTAGTAATGACTATTTTTATCAGCAAATTTGCATTTATTTATAGCAGAAAACTTGAATTTTTTCTTGTATTTTTTTTATTTTAATGAGGCACATGTAACAAATTATAACCATATTATGGTTTATGTATGGGTAATTATGGTTTTTATACCAGGTTATAATTCAAAAACATGTGTATATAGCATGATTGACATTTAGAGAAGACATTTGAATTTTGATCCATGGAAAACATAATAATTAGTAAATAGCTACTTATATGTATATAAGATTTTTTTTACTGTATATAACAATATATACAATATATTGTATATACAATTTACATTAAATTAAATTTATACCATAAAACTATCACAATACAAGAAAAATACAAACCAGCCATCCCAAATATAAACTACATTAGTAAATCAAGAGTAGTAAAAGTACAAAAACAATTAATTTTATGATATATTTAGAATGCCAAACAAGCTGACGGCATTCCTGATGAAAAGTAGTAACCGCCATCTATAGATATGAGCTGTCATGGACATCGCAAAATGGATTGTAGCCCCCATGGTACCCCTCAAACGTTGCCATTCCTGAGGACTACAATGTAATACTTCCATATCTTTTAATTTCATTGCCATATCCCACCCTTCAAATCAAAATACAGTCATGTAAGCAGAGCTGTTTTACGACAGAAACGCGCATGGGATAGAAGTACCCAAGTAGACGACTTTTGTACAATGTTTCTCTCTTATAAATGTGTGTTCTATATAAGTTTGGTATGTTTCTATTTCAAATAGCTATATTTGAGTCAGGGTCAAGAAGTGAGGTTAGCTACTTAGAACCAAAACCATACTATACTATACCAATCAGTCGTTAACTCTCAATTGTTGAAAATAAGTCTCTCCCTATTGGGAAGCTTTGCCAATAGTTGTCACACTTGGCAGGTAGATTAGCAACTGCAGTTGCTAACTCATCCCTCGACCATTAAGTTTTTTTAGTTGCCTTTTACGACACCTATGAATAGGAAGGTCTGGCCCCATCTATGTCAGGACCATACGGCGACCATACTATTATATAAGACCATAGTATACTTTATTCTATCTCTATCCCAAATATATTTCTGCCGTTAAGCAGCTGTGCGTGAATATTTTTATTTTCGATTTTATGAAGCAATGAAAATGATATTAAAATTGCAAGATATGGAGGCGTAACACCATAGTCCTCGAGAATAGCAATACAGGATTATCAAAGTCTATTATCTATGGGGCTGCTCATGTCTAAGGCGACGGTTACCACTTTCCATCAGGTGGGCCGTCAACTTGTTCACCGCTTCAAATTGCATAAAACTTGTAAATGATAAATAATTACAACCCTGGACATTTTCTACAGCGCCGTCGAGTTCCCAACTAAGCAAAGCTCGTACTATGGTAATATACACTTAAAATTTTTCACGCGACGCGTTTTTTACTTTCCCTATGAAAATGAAACACTTTAAAAAGTAAAATATATGTTAAACTAGGTTATGTTTCCACTATACAAAATTTCATCTAAATCCCCCTAAGATTTTTTGTATGATAACTCTTAATAATTGTTACCAGGACGATGCCCAAAGGGACGAATCGACGGAGTACGAAGCAGCATTTGTTTGCACTACCTCCCACGAAGGCAAGATCGAATTACACTTGACCACAGAGAGTGAACCAGTGGCCTATCTCTTGGTCGGGAGCTTGAAGGCCATAGCCAGAAGATTATACGATACTCAGACAAATATAAGACTGACGAGTTACACTAATGATCCTAGGAGATTTAGGTAAGTATCCCGTTTATTTTATTATAATTTCGGTCATTAAAAATAGTAGTTTATGTTTTTATTATGCAAAATCGATAAATTTTTTCTAAGACTTGGTGTGATAAAAAGAGACGACTTTAATAAGTTTATTACTTTTACAAACATATATAAAACTTCAAAGAATATATAACTACAAATTTTCTTTCTAAATTGTATATAAAAACCTCTTTAGCGATTAACAAGATACCCAATATAAATTTGCCAACGTGAGGTACAAAAAATAAAAAAAAAAAAATATTAACAAGTTCATGAATAAATTATTTATATACTTGTACACTGTCAGAGTAAAATTTTAAATTGACTTTCGTGTAAGCTAATTTTAATTACGTATTCCATTAAAGCGTTTGGGACTAAAATTAATGTCTGGGTTGGTTCTGAATTCTAGAAGCAAATTCTAGATTCATTCTATGACGGGACCACACGACTCCAAAGTAATTTATATACATAAAAAAGGAAATAAGACAATGTCTGCAAGTACATAGAAGAGTATTTAAGAAAAATCTGCATATTTGTTCCAACATCTCACAATATTACTGCATCAAATAGGATGCGGTTGTTATAGTTGTTGCAAATTTTATCTTAATATAATTAATTATCTATAAACTTATCTATTTTGTCGGTTATTCTTCTTATCCAATAAAATAATGTAAATAAACAGTGCAATCTATTTTCAAAATGCACGTAAAGTCGCTGACAAAGGCTAGTTCCTAATAAAATAATCGCATTGAATCGAGCGCTCGTAAAGTAGGTCATTTTCTAACCCATTATTTATTTTGTTTGTATCTATCTAAAAAAGAAAAAAAGTAACCTCATGGTTTTATTCACGGGGGACCATACCTCGTGGTCTCTATCGTGTGATCTTTTCTTAGCGTGTCCTAAAAAGCGTTAAAGTTCCCGAAGGAAAATTACATTTGGCAACATTACATAAGAATATTGCGAGTAAAATATCAAGTGACGCTTTTCTTTGCGTAAATATAAGAAAGCGGTGGGTGGTGCTCTCAGATGTTGTCTAGTAAATTCTATTTACTTATACCTTAATTTGAACATTAAGCAATCAGCGTAGTTGTGCATAAACAAGATTTGTCTATTGTGTGATATTAATTTATCTGACAAATTGGTTTACGTGTAATAATTGTGATAAATAAAAACACCCACCCTTTATTTTTTTCTCAATGTCCTCTATCCAAAGATTGTATGGAAGAGATTGCTTAACGATAAGGTCGCTTTTTGTATCACTTATCATTAAAATTTACTGTATTTATTATTTTTATAAACGGTGTAATAAAATATTAATAAACAAAAATAATTTATGATAACTATGTTCACAATAAAACGCAATAGAAAAATGTGTACTCGTATTTGATAGCTTTAGTTTTTGATATAGGGGTAGCTAGTGGCTTGCCAACAGTTTGTACTAATAATCAAGACGTTGATAGATCATTAGGAGGAGGTCATTTGCTTATAGTCAATTGCTTGGGTACCTCTGTCCTATTCGTGTTTCTACCGTGGAGCAGTTGTGTTTGCATGGCTGTGTTTCGGTTTGAAGGGTGAGATATGGTGTGAATTTAGAAAGTACAGAGGAATTACACCTAAGTCCTTAGCAATGGCAGCGCATGGGGGGTATCATAGGCGAAACAGCATACTCTGTTATGTTCATGGTACTGCTCATGTCTATAGGCGAGGATTACCAATTTCCATCAGGTGGGCCGTTAGCTTATTTGCCATTCTAAGTTGTATAAAAAAAAATACATTTTGATTACTACTAATTAGATATACTTGAGACTACAGCATATCTAAAAAATTTAAGGGCTAAAGAGGTTTCCTTAGGGTCGACAACCGGAGGAATAAGGCGTATTACAGACGTTTATAGGTTACTATAACCGCTTACATTTAGGTCAGCTATATGCTTGTTTATCACCTTAATGGTGTAAAAACAATCGCGTAATTTGAAAATGCCGTGATGCAAAATTTCTTAACAAGCTGTGGCAAGAAACACAGCTATTACAGATTTAATTTCAATCCTTGTATTATTTAAATTTATATTAAAAGTAATAATAAATAAGAAAATCTACTAAATCTGAACTTAAGAAAAGTTTCCAATCCAAAAGTTCCAAACCTGGATCTATTACATCGTTTACGGAATTAAGTTTCATTTTTCGAAAGTCCATATTACTGGTTAGTCTATTAGAATAACTTTTTAGAGTTGAAACAATATGTGCGTGGATTGAATAACAGTTGGAGATTCATTACTAATATCGTAAGGTCATAGAACTTCTATTAATAATTATGGTTGTCAATCTCCAAGTGTTGGCAGTTGCACGTATTCTAATGGTAGCGGATTTAAACAAAATAATTCTAATCTAGTTACATACATATAAATCTTAATGCTCAATTTCAATTTTCTACAACATTATTTTATAAAGGTGTTAAAATTAGTCATGGGTAATATGGATATCGATCTGATGTCTATATATTGAATTCCTCTGAACATTATTGGCAGAAAAAAGGTCATCACACGTTTCGATATCACCCATATCGGTCGGATATCTATTTTCGAATATGTTAAATGCCTGTTATCCAATATTAAATTTTGGATAACAGATTTTTAAACTTCGTTATTGGGTCAGTATTTAGATATTGTAACTAAAACATATAGATATTGCTAAATACCCACTTCTAGTTAAAATATTTATTTTTGTATATTTTTGTCAAAAACAAAATCTCGAAATGCCGTCGTAAAAAGAACCCAAGAATTATGGCACAAATATGTTTTATAGATACTGAATTGTGATCATAAGGATTTGATCTTATAATGTGTACACAGCTACCTTATATAACAACGCTATCGTACGAACACTAAAATAAATCCTTCTTTATGGCATAAGCAATAACTATAAAATTTGAATATACTTTCAAATTTACTGTTTCATAAAAAACACTGTGTAGCAGCGGTGGTATTTCGTTCATTTCCCAACCAAACTATTGTTATTGTTATTATATTTCCCAATTTTCATTAACTAAACGAACTACTATTACTAGAAGTCCATTTTTTATATTCACGATAATTGAATGATAAATCTTGACCTATTGTGTTGTAACCAGTGAAATATGATAGATGAGAATGAAGTTAGATCTATTAGTCCATCGTAACTAATTCATCGTAAATTAACCATAACCTTGTGAAATTGACCTGATATTATACCTGGTCAGGTCAACTTCACGTCTCGTGTAGCTATTAATCTTTTAGGCTGTGTGGTCCGAGCTCCCTGCTAAGGTTTTCCCTAGAGACAACAGTACGAAATTCTTCCAAAAGTGCGTATTAAGGGTTTTTATCAGGTTCGGCAACAAGTACCTGATATCTCTGCTGTTGCAGTCGTTTATGGGCTTTAGTGACCGTTTACCATCAGACGGGATGTATGATTGTAATCTCCTAAAAAAATATTAATAATCTCTGCCCTTCATGACAGGAAATCTGTAGCAAGATCATAAAATGACTATTTGTATTACAGATACGAAATCAATGCAAATCCACTCCGTCAGAGATCGAGAGATGACAATTGTGAACAGGACGAGCCCATCTCCATTGCATCATCCAGCAATGTGGCGGACCTGAAGATTGGAGTAGCCAGCTTCTGCAAAGCTTTCCCCTGGCACTTTGTCACTGACAAACGGCTAGAGTTAGTGCAATTGGGTGAGTTATTATTTATTTTTAATTTTCTGTATTGTCGGAAACAACAAACATAGTAACTTTATGAAATTCCCGTTACACATAAAGGGACGGCATTAATAAACTTGTTTATTAGATGATTTTTTGAGAACCCCCCCCCCCCCCTAAGTTGACGGCCTTCTTGATGGAAAGTGGTAACTGTCACCTATAGACATGAGCAGTATCATATAAACACAACTGCTTCACGGTAGAAACATGAATGGGACAGAGGTGCCCAAGCAAACGACTTTTGCACTTCTCTTTACAAGTTTTATGTCGCTTGTAACTTCAGTTTATTGAAACTTCTTATATCAAGTCATTGAACTGAAAAGGTTCGTCCAAAGTTGATATTTAGGTGTAGGTGACACTAGTACTCCATGTGAGGTCAAACATGTGACTCGGAGAGCAACGATCTTTGAGCTGGCATCAAATGTTGCTTGAATCAATGAACTTAATAGTGCGGAGTTAATCGATAATATAAGAAGAACTATAGTAAAATTGTAAATATTTATCAACAAAATATCTCTACACGAAAAGACTATTAAAATACCCTTGCAAAATACCAATAAACCAATTTTAGCAAGATAACGGACACTCAAGCTAATAATGAAACAAAGAAAGGGACGTTAGGAACCCAAAATAAAAAGGATTTCCACGTATCAACTTTATTTATGGAGAGATTCAGAGCTTTTTTGGATAATGTGCCACTCGCGTAGTCTTCATAAATAAGAGAATAAATTGTTTTATATCCTATTAACTGTAAGTAATTCTATTTATGGACGATATATTGAAGATAAATACATACTTTAGATTAATTTTAACCTATAATATCTATTATCCTGCTGATATATAAATGTAAAAATTATAGTTTAAACTATTGTTATTACTCATTTAGGCTTAAACCACAGCTGAAACCGCTGCATGAATTTGAATGAAATTTGGTTACACGGGCAGGTTTTATTCTAACTTAATATTAGGTAATATAAATCTTATGATTTTTTATTAATATACGCGGACAAAACCGTGGAAAAAACTAGTTTCAAATAAGTAGATTTTTCAATGTTACTACTCTTATTGTTACTACAGTCATTATTTGTACGAGTAACCTATTTTAATGTTATTCAATTTTATTATTTATCGGATTTTATTATATTCGGTACATAGATTGGAAATTATGTAAAATAAAAAAATAAAAAAAGTGAGGCTAAGTATTTTATATCCAATATTACGCAAGTTTTAAAGTAGTAGGAACGACATGTAATGAGGGACATCATAGGGGACACAGTTTACTTTGTTACGTCCATGGTACTGTTCATGTCTATAGGTAGTGTTTACCATTTTCCATCAGGTGGGCCATCAGCTTGTTTGCCATTCTAAGTTGTACAAAATAAAATATAAATAGTTGTAAAAATATTGATACAAGTAAACAAATGGAAAATACATGATTATGTGTTCGTTAGACTGGAAAATACACATGATGTGATTTGAGAGGTCAGGTTCCTCAAATAAATGGATGTCCACAACCTAATACATTTTGAAACTATTTCCTGCTGACCTAAAAGCACTAGAGAATAGATTGGTTCGAGAATAGCAATCCTTGAAAATTTAAATATACAAGCTATTTTGAATTCTATGAATGTAATATCTTTTAACAAGTCTTCTTTTTTTAACAAAATGTGACTTCAATCGAAAATATATCGCGTACCGTTAAACGATGGGATTTTGATTGAGACGCTCGATTTTATTTGAATTTAGAACATAAAATCGTTTCTTTAGGTGTACTTACATGTATGTAGGTGTGATTAGTCGATTAAAAATATTTTGTTTAATTCCACTATCATTAGTAAGCGTGCAACTGCCAAATATTTGAAGATTGACTTATTTTATGATTGACTCTCTACTATTACTAAAAATAGAAATTCTACAAACTTCCATATTAGTAATTAATATAACCAATCATATAAACTTCCATTAAATGACACCTAATTTAGTAAAACATGTAGATCTTGCATCACAACAGAAAGTATTTTGCTCCGTAAATAAAAATGGCTGTTTTTATCGTCACTATATTATTACAAGATCTATATTTGAGTACACTCTATCGATCGTAAAAAAGAATTTGGGAAATCGGTTCAGAAAAGGCGAGTTGAAAATATTTATAAATAAATGTAAATAAACTTCTTTTTAAAATGTAACGCAATAAATTAGAACGTTTTTTGGTAAAATATAAATATAGCGCAGCGAAAAGATCAAAATCCATCACAAAATAGTAGATAAATTAAACATCATTATTCGTTCTCGAATACGACCATCAAGCTTAGCTTGCCAAGTTTTCCTCAATGCTCCGACCTCTTTAATGATTCCTCTTTTTTTAACACAACCTATCTTCCTAGCCTCGTAATGATCTTAGAATTTACGATAATGTCTCTAGGTGATTATAGGAAAGAGAAAAAGGTTTTACCTTAATTTTCTCTCGTTTTTCTTTATAAAGATTGTAAGGTTCATTTAGCTGGCTCTGGCTAGAATAGTCGATACATATTTGTGTCAAATAATAAATTCATGTTTGGGAAGTAATAATACAGGTGAAGTCGAATCCGCCACAAAAAAACGCCTTCAGTTCCGGAAAATTTTGATTCAAAAACTAAACTAGTGAAATGATTTTGATTTTTATAGAACTTATTTGAAAGTATATTCTTTCAGATAGAAAAAAGAACTTTCCAAATCGGTTATAACAACCGACAGACTTATAATGTAACATATAAAAATACAACTCAATTGAGAACCTGTTTCTTTCTGAAGTCAGTTGAAAATATCTTAAATCCTTATTTCTTATTTTAACTATTTCTTTTTTTTAAACTAAGAATCTATCAAATGCATCATGCATAGTTAATAAATTATTAGTTAATAAAAACAGAAATTTCGTGAATCAAAATTCCAAAAACAACTGTGCCGTGTTAGTATATAAGACCCAAATTTTTTTGTCGTTTTTCGGCCCTTGTCGGAAACGGCAAAAACCAGCGAGTTCGTTAATTTCCCGTTATATATGTACATAGATGTCATTGTATCTTGTGGTTTTTTGGTAAAAATGAGCAATTTTTCTGGTAGAAGAGAAAAATAATAAAATAGAAATAATCATTATTGAAATAGACTTATCCACATGTTGAACATGAGCCTCCCCTATAACGAAAGTTTAGCCAGTAGTCGTCACTCTTGGCAGGCGTGTTAGCAACCGCAATTAGGTATTTGGTGATGTTTTAAGAGGCACGCTACTTATGTCATTAAGTTAGGTTAGTCGCCTTTTACGACAACCATGAGAACGGAAATGGTGGTCCATTCTATGCCGGAGCCACACAGCGTTAGAAATACACACGGCAAATTGACTTGTTTACAAGCTCTTATGTCATTCTACTACTGGATTCAGAATATTGTTATCTACTGGGAAGAACCCGCAAAAAGCTCAACAGTGATTCTTTTCAATTTATATATATTATCATCATCTTCCTACCCTTATCCCAATTATTATTTGGGGTCGGCGTAATATGTTTTTTATCCATATTCCAAAAAGATTTGGCTTATAGTTTTACGACCGCCTGCTTGACGTCTACCCTCTTTGGGAATGCATTTGTTGCTGGTTTCCGCCACCTATGGTATGGAGGAAAAAAGTAAGGGAACGTTGGAAATGTGTAAAGGAAATTGGTAAATACACGGAATAATGCACTTATATGGTAAAGGGAAGAGGGGGATACTACAGATGCGGAAAGGACTGGGACGCGGGAGGCCGGGGTCGCATACCTGTATGCTCTTATTCTAGAATCGAACAGATTTCTAGAGAAGAACACCCCTGATGCCTTTTTTCAGTATATAAGATTATTTTACATTTGTATGGGTACTATATACTGTGTACTATAATTGGCATTGAGTTTTATTTATATGTATTATTAAATGTACAATAAAAAAGAAAACATTAGCAAACCAGTCTCCACTATCCGTTCACATCTTCACGTTCCGTTCACGTCTTCTTCCACAAGCAATATCCGTTCACGAGTATGACATGACTCTTTAAAGTCTACTGATTTCAATTTTACCTTGTTTACGTGTATACATATAAATAATCTAACTGTAAATATTTAAATATTGAGTGTATTTCGAGAATAAACTGTATTCACTGAAATAAATCAACAAAAAGTTAATAAATCAATCAGAAACGCCAAAAGCAATGTTTGTTTACATTTTCTATGAAAATAAATAATCACGGCCGCCTATTGGAATTGTGTTAATCACAGAGTTAATAAAACTTTACGTTTGTTCAGGTTTAAAACTTGGGGCCAATAACGAATATTAGTATAAAAGCCAATGCTGAGAAACTCAGCGGTTTAATTGAGAATTGAAATTGAGATCTCAGTCTTATATCGCTGCACATAAATCTAATTAAATATCATAAAGACAACAAAAAAAAGTACGTCTATTTTTTTAAATGTATAAACTTAAAAACTACTTAACCAATTTTAAAAGTTCTTTCACCTATACACACCATCATCAGCAGCAACAGTATCAGACATTTATATATATAATATTTAGCTATATACATATTACTTAAAAGACAAAAGAAATCCTTATGAGAATTACAATATTGTAATCCACGGTATCAAAAACTTGTCTAAAAATCATTATTTGGTATGCGTTATGAAAACTATTTATTATACATAAAATAATGCATTACATGTTTATAGTACTCATAATTATAAATATGTAATAGGGTATAGTTTTTTTGATGGGTGAAAATGGTATGGTAACCCCGCCTGCGCTAACGAGATACCCTGGCGGAGCACCAATGAAGGGTGATAGATGAGAATGAAAACAGACCAGTTAGCCGATCATGATGAATTCATCAGGAATTAACCATGATAGTTTCCAGGGGGAACCGCGAGGAGGTCGACCTGTCTATATTGCTAAGAATGGGATTCTCAGTCTCCATTACTAACAAT